AGCATCTTTAAATCTGCTTCATACATCATCGAATCCAATGTTTTGCAGTGTTCATAAATCGTGGGATGGTACTCAAAACAGTAATATTATCCTGTCAAAATGGAACTGAATTTTATACTTTGATATCAAAGTACTGTCGTTGTTGATACAATAATAACAATACTTTGATATCAAAGAATGAAAATTGTTACCATATTTTGATGTCATTTTTATACTTATACTTTGATTTGGTTCAGTTGATGACGATAGTCATAGATTCATGAAATCAGTGACGCAATATAGATTCGTGATTTCTGATATTTTGATACCGAAAAATTCAGAACTTGTTCCAAAAAGAGCACAAATTGAGCTCATTGTCTAAATACGCGCTCGAAATGCACTCTCTGAACAACGCAATCGTTTTGATTGTTTGATCTTTTGATCAATAATTGCATTATTAAATGATCGAATGACTTTTTAAAACAAGACGACATTGATTTAAAAGAATTATCTATAATTTGATTATTTTTAAAAAACTGAGGGGCATTATTTCGTATTCATTCGATTTTGCCATTGGATGTTACTTCCCATTATTATCTATAGTTTGATTAATACTTTTGCAATTACTATTTCAGGCCTTTTTCAATTTCCGACGTAAAAGTACTGTAGGATGGTCGATAGGTAACGTATTGCTAGATTTCCTAGGTGGTAGCATGGATATATGTCAAATGATACTTCAAGCGATTAATACTGGTTTGTGACTTTGTTTTGGTCATTCTGTTGTTAGTCTCATTTTAACTCGTATGATTGTTGAATTGGTGAATTGGCTCAATACGTTTGAGTGTTGTTTATTTTCCAACCAATTACACTCCATTAAAATTGGAGCAGTCTGTTACAATTTCTAATCTTCTTACCCGGTGGCATTATTTCATATTCATTCGTTCTACTCGTAATGTTCTGAATGCCTCTGTTTGTTTCAGATGATTGGAGTGCCTTCTATGGTAATCCGGTGAAATTCGGTTTAGGGCTTGTATCGATGATTTTCGATATAGTGTTCATAATCCAGCACTATGTTCTATATCGTAATAAGAACGCTTCACTAGAAGCGCCAAAGATTGATGAGTCACGAGCGACGATCGATGCGAACGATCAAAGCAGTATGGAGGCAGCGCCGAGTGAGGATGGTAGTAGCGTACCTATTTATGTTGATCGGACCAATAATCCGATTGTTTAGGCAGATTCTAACAGGAATTCCAGTNTGCTGATCAATTCAGGTGATTGTTCGAGTCGATCTGTATCTTCATGTTCTACTTCTTCCTCATGGTGGTGTTTTTTGCGTTTAAATTTAGCGAAAAAATTCACTCATCCCTTCGAAAACGTCGATGAATCGTCAAAATTGTTGGATTCTCAGCACGACAATAATTTCAAATATGGTTCAAACATTTGATGCATTTGGTGTAGGAAACATCGAGCGATGATGTACGAAAATTGGTT